TCTCTCTCTCTCTCTCTCTCTCACGCGCGCGCGCGCGCACGCTCTCTCTCTCTCACACACACACTCTCACACACACTCTCACACACACACACACACACACACACACACACACACACACACACACACACACACTCTTAGGTAAGTTGCCTTCTGCCCTCCATCCCCTTATGGTTTGAAATATATATGTACACATATGTATATGTGCAAGTGTGCCGCTTTGGCGGCAGACGGGTGTGTGGGCACTTGGCGCTGAACCACACAAACGTGGCCATCCTTGCATTTTCTATTAAATTGCCTATCTATACTTTTTCGTTATGGATGGCTTGTGATGCTTTGTGAAGGGAACGAGAGAGAGAATCTGAGGTCTTTTAAAATAACACACACACACACACACACACACACACACACACACACACACACACACACACACACACACACACGCGCGCGCACACACAAGCGGTCATGCCATTGGGTGTCCATGGCTGAGTGGGTGTGTAGGGTGGGTTTTACGACTGTGTCAGATTAGTTTCTCAGACTTATACCATTCTTGTCAGGGGTTTGGACCGGCAGTCTGCTAGGACTGCAAGGTTGGTGTGAGTAAAGTCGACCACTTTTCTCTCTCAGGGATGGGTATCGCTAACTCTGGGCGATGTGGTGACTCGTTATCCATCAGTCAAATGCATCCTGGGCAGACTGTCGGGGTTCAACCTCCTGATGAGTCAGTGTATGGTTAGTATCAAACGACAACATGACCATGCAACACACGGTAAAGGACGAAAGCAAGGAGGGGGAAAAAAAAAACAGCCAAGAAGAATGATAGCCGATACCCCCGAGCGCAACCTGGCTCGAAACATTTATCAAGAAACACCACCCAAAAGCGGATGATGTCAAGAGCCACCATAGACATGAAGCACATAGGCGAGGTTGCTAGCGCGCGGCTGAGGTGGAGTGCAGATTGCGCATTCGACACGACTTTCAACCTCAGCCAGACAGACTGCAAGGTGATAGGCCTCTGCGCGGCCATAGCCGATGGGAACAGGGCAAGAAATGAAACCGTCAGTACCTTGGTTGGACCAGGCAGACTTCAGAATCGAAATTGCGACAATCCGGGTTCTCCGAATGAACCGTGGACCAAAATGGTTTTCGCAGTGCCAGCCAGAAATGAAATGATGTGCGCTGCCCCTGGCAAAAGAGGCTCAGAGGTACTGGTGGTTTTAACAGCCAGATCACCCCCGAAGCGTCCGCTTCCCCCGAAGCAGAGTACAGCGCCTACTGGCATATATGGAAGGAGCTTTCCGATTCAAGCCTGGGCCAGTAGTTAAAGTGGCAGGGCACTCTGAAAAAGGCGCACTTGCAGGCTCCCAAGCCTTGGAAGGTAGCGTCATCAGCTTAGGCTCGTCTGAACCGGGGGTTTAAGAACAGACGCTAAAAGACATCGGCTGCTCTCCGATCGCAGCCAGATCGTCGCAGGGAGCAGCCTGTCCTTTTTTATTCTACTGCAACCTGCAGCGATTGCCCTCTTCTATCAACGACATGAACTCCAAGACGACATGTTCTCGTCTATTGTCTTACCTACCCCTTTTCATCTCTGAGACTCTGACAGAAAACCAACCATGCGGGGTCTTACCTACCCCTTTTCATCTCTGAGACTCTGACAGAAAACCACCCATGCACCCGCAGGCCATCATCACTTCTGTGACAGTGATCGACGAGCTGTGCCGATGAGGGAACCAAAGAATCAATGCCTAGGTAGGCAAGCAAGACTAGCTGGCTGGCTGTGAAGGAAGGGGCGCTCGCATTAGTGTAAGTCTTTGAAATACTCGGTCGCCTGAACGAGGCCTTCTGAAATTCCCACCTCATTTGCAGAGTGCCCCGCATTAGGAATAACCTGCAACACCAACAGGCCTAGCTCAGTTGATACACCCATGAACTGTTGAAATACAGACCCGTGTTCAAACCCAAATGGAATTTAAGATGACTGTTATGGGAACAGCAGCAATTTTGAAATACCTGGGAACAGTCAGTTCTCGATATGGAACAATCTGAATTACCTGGGGCCATCGCCTTGGGGGGGGGGGGAAACAGAAAGGGAAGAGAGGATGGGGAGGAACAAAAAGGAATAACCTGCAACTGTGCAGCATGCAAACAATGCCAATTGTAGTAATCATGTTCTTGCTCTTTAGCCTCTATGATATTTTTAAGTCATACAGTTTATAGTGCGACCACACGAGACGCAAGTTATCCCTGCTTTTTTGCTGTGTTTTCCTTGTTGTCAGCTCTCTGCCACGATCAGCAGGGTGCTAAAGCTGTGCGGGGTAGAGAAGAGCATCACCACCCTAGCTCTGCATCAAGCCTGGCCAATTTATTGCATCTTGCTAATTACTTTTTAAGTGTTTATACTACCCTCTTCACCCAAATAGAATGGCCGGTCGTTATCGCTGTACCTAGACTGGAAATTGCCCCAAATACAGCTATAATGACCATTGACGAGGCATTGTTTTCGGGTGAAGACGGGTCTTTTTGTAGTTCTTAAACCACCACTACCTCTGATACTGTTTTTGCCGAACCTGAATTTCACTGCGCACCGAGTTTTGCCAACCCTGGGTCCCATTGTATTTTCTTTTCTGGTACTCACGGCAGTTACATCCAAAAGAGAAGTAAAAAAAAAAAAAAAAGAAGAAGAAGAGAAAAGAAAAGAAACTTCCCTAACACCGTGATATAGATCAGATACATTCAATGAGGTGATAGTGAGACTGTGCCCTCAGTGAGGGCTTCTGTCCCATGAAGGGCAAAAAAAAAAAAAAAAAACATCCCTTATGCTGGGATCTCGGTCCCTTATGCTGTGATCTCGGTCCGATACAGGACACTACAGTACTAGTGTGAGTATGAGGTCAGTGAGGCAGTTACTTGCCCCTCGTGGAATACGCCCTGCCTCGCAGGCAGGGCGCCAAAAGGAAACCAAAAGAAGGGAAAAAAAAAAACAAAAAACAGTTTAAACAACAGCAATCACGTTGTACAGATAGTGGCCAGATACATTCCTCAAAGCACTGGTGCGACTTCCACCTCCGTGACGGCCGTCCCCGACCTTGCTGGATTTGAAGTCCTCAGGGTCTTTGTTTTTTTTTGCTTTTCCCTCACCGTGGGCCCACGAGGGGCCCCACCTTTTCTCTTTTCTTTTGTTTCCCTTTCCTGCCGACCCTACGCCGGAGACCCGAACTTTTCAGATGAGCTCATTTTCCCAAATGGGACTGTGGGACTACAGCTTCGAAAGGTAACTGGCGGTTTAAGGTTGTGGGGGGCCATCCATGGAACAGTGCCACAATTTCAAAATACAGACTCGGCAGTACTAGCGGTTCAAACCACAAGAACATCCGAGCCTCTTTTCTCTCTCGGAGGCAGATTCCCCCCTGTGCACCAAGCTTTGACGACACCCCTCCAGTGCGGCACTTTTTCTTTTTCCTTTTCCTTTCGCTGGTCCCGCCACCCATTTTGTTCCGGTAGCCCTGAGCCTCCAGCATTTTTCGAATTGGCTCGATTTCGATCCTCAAGTTTGCCTCTACCCGATGTGCTGCCAGTTTTTTCAAACATCAAAACTGAATCATCCAGAGGAAGAATAGCTCCACCGTTTGCATAACCCATGAGGCCGAGGAGCTATTCCCATGGACCCCCCCCCCTGCCCCCTTACAAAACATTCTTCCAAACCATCATATCAATCATCCAAATGAATCATCATATGAAATCATCATGTGTCTTATCCTGCTCATCACAAGCTATATTTTATGCTCTTGTTTGGCAAATTTCTGAAGCCAAAATAGCTGAGAGACGTCATCAAACGAATCGTCATTCATGAATCGTCACATCATCACCAGATGAATCCTCACGTGTATCGTCCATCACATAATGCATTATCAGGTGGAATAGGTCCACAATGCCCGGCAACACCGGCCACTGGATCGACATGTAAATCATCTCGACGACTCAATTACAAGCTCCAACCAGCACTGAACAGCGCAGTTCCTTGCCGTGTGCTGCAAGATACACCGGTCGGGTCTACCTTCCGATCCAGAGCCAAGCGGTCCAACCTTGTTGAAGTTTAGGGTTCAAAAAGTTTTATTCCCACGGCTGCAAGATACAACAGTTCCCCCCCCAAAAAAAAGAAAAAAGAAAAAAAGAAAAAAGAAAAAAAGAAATACAACCGCTCGGGTCTACTTTCTGATCCAGAGCCAAGAGGTCAAACCTTTTTTTTTTTTTTTTTTTTTTTTTTGAAAGACCCTTGCGCAAGGCCTCTATCCTGGTGGTGGTAAGAGAAAAACCTTCTTGAAGTTTAGGGTTCAAAAAGTTATTCTCACGACTGATTCCGACGGCTGCAAGATACGCCGAGCGGTCGACGATCCGATCGTGTGACAGGGCTAGTTCAGTCATTCGCAAACTTTTGACGAGGACCTTGAACAGAAAACAGGGATAATTATTAATTATGATTAATTAATGACCTTGGCAAATCAAGCCGGAAACTCAGTACGGACCTCAACGTGCAGATTTTGATGGCCAGGTATGCAAGCATGACCTGTAGTGGAAAGAGTAGCCAGACACTAAGGCACATTTGGACAGGGCTATCGTCGAAACCCGAAGAGAACGCCCCCGGTCATTACTGCTGCATCCAGACTGGACGATCGACAGGGCTATGGTCCTCAGCCCAATTACAGCTATCATGACGGGGCATTCTATTCGCGGGTGAAGATGAAGACGGTTGTTCAGTCATTCCAAAACTTTTCCCCCAGGACCTTTCAAAAAAAAAAAAAAAAAAAAAAAAAAGAGCTAGTAGTTAACTGCAAACTTGTGCAGACCGGTCATTGTTAAAGATGCACCGCATTTTGAGATCTTTGCTTTTTTTTTTTTTTTTACACAATCCATAGTACTGGCTTCTTTGCTGCCATTTAGGATGCTCCTACCGTCTTCCCCCGAATAGAACGTGCGGTCGTTATAGCTGCTGTATTCACAGCAACTTTAAGTCTAGATGCAGAGAGAGGCAATGACCGTACGTCTTATTCGGGGGAAGACGGACAGTCCATGAGATGTTAACAGCATTGCAGGGGAGGAGGTTGCCGGGAATGCAGCATTGCCGTTGCACTATCGGATTAGCCACGCGAGTTCCTGGACCATACCGTGTTCCTGGACCATACCGTGTTCCGGGACCATATCGTAGCGGGAGTTTTTTTTTTTTTTTTTTTTTTTTCTCTCAGTAGGTTTTCCTCCCTGCCGTCTTTATGTGCCCGGTTTTTTTTTTTTTTTTTTTTTTTTTTTTTTTATCATTTTTTTATTTTATTTTACCGTGAGTTGCAGGTGGGCTAAAGTGGAATTGGAACCCTCACCCAGAGTTGAGATTCCGGCCACGACTTATGAAGCTCCCATGCTGACATGAATGGGCAGACCATGTCATACCTTCCCTGCAAGTTGTCGAAAGAATTTCGTAAAATCACGCAAACCATCAGTAGTGATTCAGTACACATCGTCAACCGAAATGAAACATCACGAATCATCATACCAAAAAGTTAAAAACAGTTAGAAAAACAAACCCAAAAAAGAAAGCTACAGAGTGTAACCACCTCTAACCCCCTTTTCGAACGTAATCTTGCACAGTATGCAGTCATTAAGTCATATGCACAAGGAGTAAGTGTGCATGCATGCTAGAAGTAAGTTCCGAAACTACCCCTCCCCCCACCGCATCGGGTTAACCACACAGCAAACCATTTTCAGGGTACCGCCCATGGCCATCCGTAAGGGGCCCATAGTTGCATGCGAGCCTTCCAAGGTAGTTAAAAAACCAACAGAAACGGAAGTTGTTGGAGACATCCGACCCTGCATGCTCTGTTCGTTTGAACGCCACCTTACAACAGGCATCTGGATTCTTTTTCGTCCGGCCCATGTTATAACGCTTCTGTCTTTTTAGAGTCTGTCGACCATTTATATACTTGAAGTGGACAGCATCGATCGCAGAGGTGCTGTGGTTTCTTCTACTGCTCTTGCTGCTACTGCTACTACTAGCCCTGCTGCTACGGACATGGCAACTCTTGCTGTCATAGCAGTTGGTTATCTCCTGCTGCTACCCTCGTTGTCACCGCCATCGCCTTCTGCTGTAACGCTCCTACAACATTCATCGCGGAGAAGCTCTTGTTTCTTCTACTGTTTTTCCTGCTACAGTCAGTGCTGCTGCTACCGACATTGTCACTCTTGCTGTAAGTTGCAGTCGGTTACTTGCGGACGCTGCTACCCTTGTTCTCACTGCCGCCGCCTTCTGCTGTAATGCTCCTAGCTCTACTGCCATTTCGCCCCACCGCCCACTCCTAGCACTGCTCTGCCTACTACCGTTGTGTCCTGCTGTCCGCCCCCCAGCACCGCTCTGGCTACTGCAACTGCTATCATTGCCGCTGTGACTGCCTTTAACTAGTAGAACAACTGCAACGACTGCGGCTCCCGTGCCCCTTGCTGCTGTAACAGAATCCTCTCGTGCATAGCAGGAATTCCAAATTCCTTTGCACTGCTGCTGCCACTCTTGCTGCAAGTTGCAGTCAGTTATTCGCCGACGCTGCTACCCTTGTTGTCACTGCCGCCGCCTTCTGCTGTACCTGTACTGCCATTTCGCCCCACCGTCCAGTCCTAGCACTGCTCTGCCTACTGGCGTTGTGGCCTGCTGTCCGCCCCCCAGCACTGCTCTGGCTACTGCAACTGCAACCATTGCTGCTGCGATTGCCTTTAACTAATAGAACAACAACTGCAGCGACTGCAGCTCCCGTGACCCTTGCTGCTGCAACAGAATCCTCTCATGCATAGCAGGAATTCCACTTTCCTTTGTTCGGAGGCGGATGCTGGTAAACGCACTTGCAATTTCTTTTATCGCTTCAGCCTTCTGGTGCAACTGGACCTAGTTCAGTTGGTACACCCATGAAATGTTGTAATGAAGATGTGAGTTCGAATTTAGATGAAACTACAATATAGTAGAACGAATTTGTGTAAATACAAGCTGGCCACCTGACCTGCGCAGTGCAAGGATGAGGCAGACAGGGGAGTGCTGTATCAAGCGAGATAGGAACGATTCTGTGACTGTAATTCCCCCAGGTGATTTTGAGAACTGCATCGTCATCCTTATCATCATCATCATCATCATCATCATCATCATCATTAACATCATAACATGGATGGCGGAACTGAAAAGATGCAAGCTCAGTCGTGAAACTGCCCTACCTGCACAATTATGCCTGGAATGTTACGGATTTTATCCACATTTTTTAACAGCCATCCATCGCTTTCGAAGAAACCCCGATTGACAAAGTAATGATTCTCTATGCTTGCAAAAGCCTGCAGCAGACAGTGCACACTGATCAGAGATTCATAATATTATAGGCCAAAGAAAGCATGTCACATAGGTGTCCGTCCATCAAACTGAGAAGAAGAAAGGAGAGGAAGAAGAAGGAGAATGGTAAGGAGAAGAAGAAGAAGAAGAAGAAGAAGAAGAAGAAGAAGAAGAAGAAGAAGAAGAAGAAGAAGAAGAAGAAGAAGAAGAAGAAAGAAGAAGAAGAAGCAAAGAGGAAGACGAAGAAGAAGACAGAGAAGAAGAAGAAGAAGAAGAAGAAGAAGAAGAAGAAGAAGAAGAAGAAGAAGAAGAAGAAGAAGAAGAAGAAGAAAGAAGAACAAGAAGAAAGAAGAACAAGAAGAAGAAGAAGCAAAGAGGAAGACGAAGAAGAAGACAGAGAAGAAGAAGGAGAAGAAGAAGAAGAAGAAGAAGAAGAAGAAGAAGAAGAAGAAGAAGAAGAACCTGCCCTCCCAGGATATCCAGCAGGAAGAGCACTGCTTGTTTCGCATGAACTTTGATGGGAACTAGAACGTAGGCCATGTACTGTCCGTTCTCTTCTTCCTTTTCCTCCCACTCGGCCTGTTCGGATGTCCAGACAGGTTTATTTCGCTCATTCGCATGAGTGTTCGTATGTCCAGACTGACGCATTCAGCTCGTTCCATAGGACTCGTTTGGATCCAGACAGGTGTATTCCGCTCATTCGCACGAGTGTTCGTAAGTCCAGACTGATGAATTTGGCTCGTGAAGGGGGCCGGGAAGATGACGCGAACAGGGTGCCAGAAAACGGAAGGGAGGCCGATGAGTGTTTCAAGGAGGTTTACAAGGGAGTAAGATGAGGTGAACAGGGGGCCAGAAGAGGGAAGAGAGGCCTATGAGTGTTTAAAGGAGATGAGGTGAACATGGGGCCAGAAGACAGAAGGGAGGCCTATGAGTGTTTAAGGGAGGTTTACAAGGGAGTAACGAAATTGTCCTTTTGTTGTTTGTTCACTTATCTATTCTTGCCTTTGGTAAAGACGATGAGGCTTAGCCAAAAGTTCATTCTTATAGCAATTCTAGTATTCTAATTTCAAAGTTTTCAATGCAGCAGATCTTTTTTTGTTTTTATTGGAACATTTCTCGATCTATGTGTGCTATGATCCCGGGGCCAAGTCCCACTAGCAGCGTTGAGCTACCTCAACGCCTAAATCTGGACGTGTTTGTGGAGACGTGCAGTTCAGGAAACTCAACACTATTTCTGCACATCTCCGCAAAAGCGTCCAGATTCAGGCGTTGAGGTAGCTCAACGCTGCTAGTGGGACTTGGCCCCCGGTAATCTCTCAGTGCAAACTCAAAAAACAATGCCATTCAATTGCAACTGAAATGAAGAGACCGGAGAGAGAAATAGACAAAGGAAGAAGAAGAATGGAGGACAGAAGAAGAAAAAGAAGATGAGCAAAAGCTGGGAGCCTGGAACCCGTACCAACTCCTCCTCATCTCGCCACAAATTCCCTCCTCCAACATCTCTCCCAACATCTTTATCTAAATATTAAAATATATATTCTTTATAAATAGTGGGACTCGCGTGACACTCCTGCGAGGCCGGGTTCCCTGTGTTGGGAAAATGGTTGGAGACAAGGCCCGGGCCCAAGGGAAACCCGCAAAAAATTCAGTGTTTTTTTTTTCTTTTCGTCTGCACGCGAGTTCGAAGGCTGGCGCGCTGCGAGGGAGGTGCGTTGGAGTCACGGGGGAGGCTGTTTGTTTGTTTGTTTTTTCCGTGCGCGCACAAGTTCAAGGGCTGGACCACCGTGGCAGAGGTGTGTTGGAGTCATGGGCATGTTTCCTTGCTTTTCCAGGATTTTATTCCCCCCCCCCTCCCTGCATCACGTTTCGGACTCCCTTCCTCTTGCTCCGCCCCCTCCTGTGGACCACAGCTTTGCTGCGGCGGG